TCTTCTTCTTCTTCTTCTTCTTCTTCTTCTTCTTCTTCTCCTCTTCCTGTTCGGACTACTGTAGCAGCAGTCGAAATAGCACCCATTCAAACTCATCCTCCACCTGTCTAAATTTTAGAGAGACTGAATAGTTGCCTACTAATTCCTCAACCCCCTCTAGTACATCTTCTTTCCACTAAGTCACTATCCCTCCAGAAGCCCCCCAAGAAGGAGCAACCGCCCATTTAATCCTCTAGCTTTCCAAACACTTCTTACCCATCTCCTATCGAATTTCATTCGTTTGGAATCCTGAATTAATACCACATCTGGATTGGCCTTCCTTGTCACTTCTTTAATTGTTGCTCTTTTTCTTGCACTCCCCAGTCCCCTGACATTCCAACTTAATAATTTCATTTCAAACTCTTCGAATGACCCCTTCCTTCATTTGGAAACTACTTGACCCCTTCCTCCTTTCCCCTTTCATAACAAAGCTCTTGTCACCCTCTACATCTCTCTTCAGCCTCTCAACTTCGCTTAACTTCCTTTTCTTGACCTTACTTTCCTCCTTCCTTTTTTGTAAGAAAACTTTAAGGTCATTCGGATTCTGCAATTTACATCCCAACTCCCACAAATTCTGCTACGGAGTCATCTGAACTGGGATTACCTTGCTTTGTCCCCTGCTCACCTCTATTTTTTCCCCCTGCCTCTTTACCACTTCCTTCTCTTGCCCTATGTGCATCCTCTCTTTGTAAATGATTTTTTTTTTCATATTCTCCCATTGTTTTGTCAATAATCTCCTATTTTTTTTTTTAATTTCTATCCTTCTCCTCCTTTGCTTCCCTCCTACCTACCCCCCTGCAGATTCCTTGTGCATTCAAATTTAGGGGCTGCAATGTCATGGGCTTCCAACTCTTGGAAGGGAAAGGAATCTGGAACAAGAGACATTAAACACTCATCAGTATCAAAACCAGAAATGACAAGGTTGCCTGGGAGCGGCCAAGGATTGGAAGAAAAGGGCGAGGATGGTCCTTTAGTTGTCTTTCCCTGTTTTTGTGTATGTGTGCTTTCTGTCTCCTTGGGTTGGTGGGAAATCAAACCCATCACATTAGCAACATTAGAATCTTTTCCTTGACCCATTTGTCTCTCTCTCTGTAGCGTGTTCTCATTTTGCTTTTGGAGAGAAAGGTTTACTTCCCTATCAGTGTGTTGCGCAGAATGTAAGCTTGAGTGGGCCTTTTCTGTTCGGTTTTCCTCCCTAACAATCTGCATGTGTTCTGCTTCATCAGACGTGTAGGCTTTGCCCAGCAATATCGGTCTGTCCAAGTGTCCTTCCTCCTCATCATCGTGAAAGAGGACCTCCAAATCTAAGGTCCCTTTATTTTCCCCCATACCTGTGCCTGCATCGTCCTCACTTCCTAAGCTTGAACCTCCGTCTGAGCTTTCCCCGTCACTTTCCTCTACCCTGCAATCGATCCTCCCTTCGTCTTCTACCTCCCTATCTTCCAGTGGGCCCCTCGTATACCGTGGGTTTGGACGACCCGCAGACTTTTGCTTCGCACCATTTTCCTTTAAGTCTTTTCGAGTAACCCATTGAAATGAACTCCCTTGGCTTTCTCTACCTGATTCCCACTACTGCACCCCATTCTCTTCAACCTGTTCGAATTTGGACGATGATAGATAGGAATTCCTATCTATCATCACTTCTTTGTTGCTCCGACCCATGTGACTCTTTAAGTTATCACGTGGGCTGAGTTGGTTCTTATCCGGTTCACCCAACCCTTTAAACCCAATCCCTGTTGGCTCAGACTGAGTAGCTTGGCAGTTCTTAACCGGGCTTCCACTTCTTCTCGCCACCTCAGCATAAGAGACCCGACCCATCCTACTTCTTAATTCAAAAAGTTTTGAATCAATTTCCTTAATGGGGTTACTTGTCGTTTGGGTTTTCGCTTGCGACGGTCTCAATTCCCTCTTGATTTTGTCATGCGCAAAACCCCTCTCTACCATTCCTCTAGTGCCACGTGTACTCCAACCTGCCATGTCACCATCATCTTCAACCTCAGGAAGTCTTCCCCAAAGTGACGCTTCAGCTCCTGAAGCCAGCCATACTTGATACCAGATTGTGATGTTGAGCAATGAGAGGGAAGAAAACACACCTGGAGTTCCAGTCATGTGATCGGAGGCTCCAGAGTCAATAATCCAGGGATTGGGTGTGGATGCCAAAMAAGCCATACCCGAGTGTGCGAAAGTAGCTGTGTTCTGCTGAGACATGGATTGGACAAACCTCTCATACTCATCACGGGGAACACTCACCATCTCCTTCCTGGGACCATCTGTAGGAGGCATCTGATTAGCTGAATGATTCTCCTGTCTAAAACTGGAACTGGTGTCAATAGTCATGGCATGATTGGCCCAGGTTGAGGGTGGACCATGCAAGTCATAGCAATAATTAATGGTATGTCCATCCATACCACAATGAGTACACCTCCTCGGACCCGAGCCACGTCCGGCCATATACCGGACCACTGCTACTACCACGGCCAGACTGAGCTCCTCTAGCTCCACCTCTAACACCACGGCCTCTCGACACTGCAAAGGCTGATCTATTTGAGACATTAGAGTTCTCAGTAGATCCAATAGAAGTCCTCTGAAGTCGAGCAAACACCTCTTCTAAAGAAGGAAGAGCTGATCCTCCTAGTATCTGGGCCCGTACTGGTTCATACTTTGATTTCAGCCCCACCAAAAATCGAGTCACATCAAGTTGTTCTCTCTGTTGTTGCTGAATCTTGACATCAGAAGTAAGGGGGTGATAAGCATTCAACTCATTACGGATGTTTCTCATATTGGCATAGTACTCCTCAAGACTTTGATTGCCTTGTTGCAGATTAAAGTATTCCTGATACAGTTGATATACCCTGGTTGTATTGTCTTGACCAGAATACAATTTCTTAGCATGGTCCCACACATCTTTGGCAATGTCAAGAAACATGAAATTTACACTAATCCTGGGTTCCATACTATTCCATAACCACGTGATAATCTGTGCATCCTATTGTTTACAGTCTTCGTACTCATGAGAATCAGTGGAGGGTTTCTCCTCTCTTATGTGTTTCACCTTCTTCTTTGCCTTCAGAAAAACTTCTACAGATTTAGCCGAAGGGACATAATTCTCCCCATTCAGTTTAATGGAGGTCATTTGAACATTCAGGTAGTCAGTAGGTATCATCACATTAGATTTGCTATCACTGAATTCTGCACACTGCTCACGACTTGATCACACTGATCACACTGGTTTTCAGCACTGATTATTGCTGAAAGTTGCACTCGTGACACCACAAACCCTACCCTACGGCTACCTGAAATCTCACCACTATATGAGCACCACTTCTCCTTCGAATCACACAAAAAACAACATAAACCCTAGCATACTACAGTCTGAAATTCCACCATACGATCTGAAACATACTTCCTATTTGATTCATAATAGAAAATATGCATAGAAATCTCTTACCTCATCACCGGAAGGACAACCACACGAGAAGAAAATCTGTCCACACAAGACACCCACTACACTACACGAATCAGCCCTACATTGATTAGGGGAGGGCTTAGAAACCACAGCAACCGACCACACAACACACAACTGGAGGCATAGAAACCCCCAAGGGAAGAGGGCGATCACTCCTTTTCAGCCCTTTCCCTGATCTCCAATCGATGGTAGAGAATTCAAGGGAAAACCCTAGATTGAGTGCGCAGAGAACAGAAATCTAGGCAGATCCGATTTGCTTAGTTAGCTCTGATACCATGTTATAATTTGGCCTGCCTTTGAATTCTGTTTGTCTGTTAGCAGTCAAGAAGAAAGAGAAAGAAAGAAGGAAGAAAGAGAGAGAGAGAAAGGGAAAAGGTCTGGTTCGAATTAGGGAAAAACATAACCCTACAATTCGGCCAGACATGCTTTTATATTATTAATATAATGGAAAAGACACAAGTGCCCTTATTTAAGTAAGAGACACTAGTTCTGACATAATACTACAGATCAGCAACCTCAATATAAGTATAAAGACAGAAATACCCCTACGCTAACAACTAGAATCAACATATTCTCCAGTGAAGTATTATAACATAAGTTGGTGACAATATTGTAGATGTGTGGAGTGGCAATGTTATTGCCTGCCTAATGTACACGATTACCACTTTGAGCCAGCTCGATATTTCATTTCAAACATGAAGTTAGATATTAGTTTCTGTTTGTATAATAGATTATTTGGTTGATCTATTATAACCATTTGCATTTTCTATGGGTTTAAATTTTTCTTAAACTCTTACTATTATGTAGTTTTGAATCTTAAGGTTTATTGGACAATTTCAGAACGTATTATTTTGTCTATAACCTTAGTTTCTTAGCTTTGTTTAATGATCTGAAACAACATAATAATTTAAAAGGTGTGCCTATGCTTCTTTTATCATTTCATAAAATATCATTCTATATCTTTGCATTATTTTACAATGTTTCCGCCATATCTTTAATTTTTACAAATATGTCCATATGATATTTCCAACATTTTTGACATGTTTCCTATATTTGGGTGACCAACATGTCCACCAACACCAACATTTTAAACCTTGATTAAGATTCATGATTTTACCTGTTTTGCCTTCTACACCAACATGTTCTCCTCATGGGCTTAGTTTCTTCTTTATCTCGATCAGGTTATATCCTGGTTTATTAAGTTCCATTCATTTATAGGTTTGTATTATTTTAGGCCACATTATAATGTCAATCTGAAGGCAATTGAGGTTGGTGGTGCTGTTCTACAACTTCCAACAGATGTATTTAATTCTGAGGAGGCAGGGACGATAATTGATAGTGGGACAACTTTGGCTTATCTTCCAGATACGGTTTACTCCGCATTGATGAATCAGGTATTAAATGTTCTTTGAGACTTTTGCAGTAATATGTAAAATTTCTCACTACATGTAATTCAATTTTTTATTAGGTAATGTCTCAACAGCCCAATCTGCAAACTCATATTGTTGAAGATCAGTTTCAATGTTTTCAGTACATAGGAAGGTATGGTATTTCAGCCTATCAAATTGCTTTATTGTGAATTTCTGTAATTTCTTTATAGAAAATGGATGGAATATTGTTTTTAAGCTATAGAATTAAATGAATTTCTTAATATATTAACGTGTAAGACAATTTAAAAAGGAAGAACATTTGCATCTAGTGCATTTTTTTTTCCTTTTTTCTTTGAAACCCAGAATGCACACATTTTATGACTGCATACATTTCTTGGATGCTATGAATTAGAACAGTCAAGCTTTTAAATGTTTTACTTTGTTATTCTGAATGGGAAATATTAACAGAGAAAAATAGAAGAAATAGGGAAGAAGAGAGGAGAGAGAGAAGAGAGAAGGGAGAAGAGAAGAAAAAAAGGTTTGGAGAGAGAATCAGTTCGGGCGGCACCAGAATTTTTTATTATATATAGGACAGCACTTAAAAAGAGGGAAGAAGACACTTATGCCCTTGTGGCACTTACAATACATAATCAGAATAAAAAACTAAGTTATTTTAACACTCCCCCTCAAGTTGGGACATAGATGTCAATCATGCCCAACTTGTCACACAAATCGTTGTGCCGCACGTGATGGAGACCCTTGGTGAAAATGTCTGCAAGTTGTTCTTTTAAGCTGACATAGGGAATGCATACTTCTCTACTCACAAGTTTTTCCCTAATAAAATGCTTGTCCACTTCAATATGTTTTGTCCTATCATGGAGGACTAGGTTGGTGACAATGTTGATAGCAACTTTATTGTCACAATAGAGTGACATAGGGCTGTTAACTTCAAAGCCCAGTTCACCTAACAGGATCTTTATCCACATGATTTTAGCAACTCCATGAGACATAACTCTGTGTTTTTCTTTAGCACTGGACCTAGCCACCATACTTTGTTTCTTCTCTAAGTGACTAAGTTTCCTCCCACAAAGGTACAATACCCATTGGTAGACTTTTTGTCATCAACTGCCCCTACCTAATCAACATTTTTATACACTTCAACTTTCAAATGCTCATGTTTCTGGAATAACAAACCAGCCCCTGGAAACTTCTTGAGGTATCTAAGGATCCTTTCTGTAGCTTCAAAGTGGGAAGTCTTGGGATTGTGCATGAATTGACTAAGGAGACCTACAACATAAGCAATGTTAGGTTTGGTCATAGATAGATATAAAGGCCTCCTTACAAGTCTTTGGAACTTCTTCATATCTTTCATAGCCTCCCCCCTGAATGTCACCCAACTGATGATTAGATTCAATGGGTGAATCAATTGGTTTCACTCTTAACTTGCTTGTGTCCCCTAATAGATCTAGTATGTATTTCCTTTGAGAAATAAAGATACCCTTTTGAGAGCGGGCAACCTCAATCCCAAGGAAATAATGTAAGGGGCCTAGATCTTTCACCTCGAATTGAGTGGCTAGGAATTTCTTCAACTTCTGTATTTTAGTCTTCCAATTTCCTGCATCCACTATGCCATCAACATACACGATTAGGGATGCAATTTTCCCTTCACCTTTTTTCACAAACAGAGTATGATCTGACTGATATTGTTTAAACCCTATTTGCTGTACTAATCCAGGCTTGAGGTGAGTGTTTCAACCCATATAATGATTTTTTCAACCTACACACCTTCTGCTCACTACCTTTGGCACAAAACCCCGAAGGGTGAGTCATGTATACCTCCTTCTCTAGATCACCATTCAGGAATGCATTTTTTATGTCAAATTGGTGAAGTTCCTAGTTAAGATTAGCTAGTGAAAGGAGGATTTTGATAGAGCTCATCTTGGCTACTGGAACAAAGGTTTATGCATAGTCTACTCCATACACCTATGTAAAACCTTTTGCCACAAATCTAGCTTTGTACCTTTCTACCGTACCATCAACCCTATGCTTCACTGTGAACGCCTACTTTTATCCCATTGGTTCTTTTCCTTAAGGAAGATCCACTAACTCCCAAGTGCCATTTTGTGCAAGGCATTAATTTCTTCATTGCATCTATCCATTCTGGTATGGATAAAGCTTTTGCCACATTCTTAGGAATAGAAATGCTGTTAATGGAGGAAAGAAAGGCACGGTATGAAGGTGAGATATGATCATAAGACACAAAGTGAGAGATAGGATGATTAGTGGTACAAGATTTAACATTCTTTCTTAGCAATAAGAACATCAAGAGGATCGAACATAAAAATAAGAACAAGTATAACTGGTTGGTGGGGATATACCTCTGGAGAGTCTGATTATGTTGACCGCATAGTTTCAGGTTCCACGGCTCTTGAACTCTACTAGCTCTTGTGGTAATGAAGGAAGACATGAAATGGAGGAGGATTAGGAGGAGGAGGTAATTGAACCTGAATGTGTATCTCCTCAACCCTACTCTCCCCTTGAGGAGAAACCGAGAAAAAAAAGGTTGACTCTCAAAGAAGGATACATCCATGGAGACATAGTACTTGTATTAAACAAGACCATTACATCAGTAGCTCTTTTAAGATAAAGGGTAGTTGAGAAAAATATAAGGGATAGCACGAGGATCAAGCTTACCACGACTATGGGACAAGTCATGAACACAACAATGACATTGAAAGACACGCATTGGAATAGAGGACAAAGGGGCCTTAGGAAACAACAGTTGATGTGGGGCCTTATGCTCTAGCAACCAAGACGGTATACGATTGATAATATGTGCAACACACATAACAACATCCATCTAGAAGCATTTCGGAACATGCGTATGGAGTAATAATCCACGAGCAACTTCAAGATGATTTTTTCTCTCAGCAACACCATTTTGTTGAGGTGTCTTAGCACAAGAGCTTCGATGAAGAGATCCACACGAAACAAACAACTCCGTGAGATCACTATGAAAATACTCCTTTGCGTTGTCCAACTAGAAAATATGAATCTCAGTTTGGAATTGAGTAAAGATCATGCATTGAAATTCTTTCACAATCTTTAACACTTCCCCTCTAGATCAAATAGGATAAATCCAAGTATATCTAGAGTAGTCATCAATCAAAGTAATGAAATACTTATAGCCAGTTTTAGAAGGTAGAGTAACAAGGCCCTAAACATCAAAATAAACAATGTGAAGGAAATTCAAATCTTTTATTTCTTGAAGGAAAAGAACTTCTACGATGTTTACTCAATTGACACATTTGACATGGTAACTCATTTAATGACAAAGACTTAAATAACTCTGGAAACATAAGCTTTAATGACTCAAAAGAAAGATGACCAAGACGATTATGCCATAAGTCGGTGACTCTCACTAGACGAACTCAAAGACTCTGTAGCCACAATACCGACTTTATTCTCCAACATGTAGAGACCATCCACCATGCTTCCTCTACCAATTGTCCTCCCCGAGGTCAAATCCTAAAAAACACAAGAAGGAAACTGTTGATGGAAAGTAAATTGATAGGCAATTTTGGAACATACAACATATTAGAGAGGGTAAGACCAAAAGGAAGGGAGATGGTTCCTTGACCGACTATGGTGGAGAATGAGCCATCAGCCAGTCTCACCTTATCTCTCCTAGAGAGGAGGTTATATGACTGAAATAAATTTTACTTATCAATCATGTGGTTTGAAGCTCCAGAGTTAATTATCCAAGGGGATTCAGATGTATGAGATGACACATGGAAGGTAGTGGCAGAGTTGCCTGATGTAGACGCAAAGGAGGTAGGAGTAGGGCCAAAATCCATATGACGAAGTGTCCTACCATATAACTCCAAATGGTAATGAAAAGAGTTGATCATCTCTTCCTTGAGATCAGAACTAGAGAGACATTCTTGAGGTATCATGGGACTAGTCTCTTGAGAGGCCACATTTGCTGAGTTATATTTCTTCTGATTATGATGAGTTGGTTTCTTACTCTGATTAGATGCTGATTTCTTACTTAATTCTTGAGCCCACTTAGGCTTCCCATGGAGGTTCCAACATGTTTCTCTAGTGTGCCTAGACTTTTGACAGTGAGTGCACCAAAGTTTGTCTTTGTCATCGACCCTTTGCTGCAAATCACCCTTCTTAAAAGAAGTTCCTCCATTTCCATTTGTACCTCCTCGGAATGCTAATGCAACTGGCTCCCCCTCTGCACAATTCATCACACTTCTACTCTCTTCAAACTAAACTAAGGCATAAACCTCCTGAACTAATGGTAAGTCCTTACTTCCCAAGATTTGTCCCCTAATAGACTCATACATAGGATTTAGTCCCAAAAGAAAAGCAAATACTCACTGCTAGGAGACAAGGGACTTGTAGGCCTTTGCATCTTCATCACATTTCCAATTCACACTTTGATAATGATTCAATTCCTTCTAGATTGATGTCAAATCTGAGTAATATACTAAAAGACTTCTCTCCCCCTTCTTACAAGTGGATGATTCAGCTTGTAGTTGGTATATTTTTGCATAGTGCCTCTGCTTCGAATAGGTAGATATTGCTTGTTCCCATATTTCACAAGCTGTTTCAGCCCATATAAATGTCTTTCTTACTTGTGGCAGCATGGAAACCAAGAGCCACGACATCACCATATTATTCTCTTGGTTCCACCTATCATGTTCAACACATCACCCGTAGCAGTAATGTAAAGTTTAATTCCCCTAGACCATTCAAGGTTATTTAGTCCATCAAAGGGAATTACAACCATAGGGAAATTCATATCCAGCCCCCATTCATTTTGTTTTGACTTCCAAAATCCCCAAAAGTTGCAGAATTTTCAGAGGACATGATTCAGTTCACTATTCAACTTCAACACACCCTAAGATCCCTCGACACCAAAAACAGTTCTAGAAACACACTAGAGATGCAGCCCACATGCACACGCTCCAGTCTGGACACAATCTGAACACAGACCGGCTCCAATTTTCCAAAAAAAAAAAAATCAGGTTGATTTCAGTTCTGTACAGACTTAACAGTCACAGTCCACCACTCTTCCAGATCATCTAAACTCACCAATTACCAGGAGAGATCGTAGACAGTGTCGTCACACCAAAAAAAGGACAAAAGCAGGTCATCTGT